AGGTCCTGATGCTTTGCAAAAAAAGTGTTCATAGGATGTGAATATCTCGGGCAAGGCCACCATTTATTCCTCCCCTCGAATTGTTTGGAGACGGTGAAATATATTTTTGAACAGCTACGAATTGTATCGTTAAGGTGCACCCTCCATTTGTGGTCGATGTCCCAGATGTATGACTCACCGAATTGTGGTGGTGCAGACAGAAGCCTTTTGGCCTATTTGCACCCTGGCTCCCTGAGCATTTTTAACTTTGCTGCCAACCACCTGCTGTCTTCCTGTTACACTGCGACCCAGCGACAGTGAAGAAATGTGGATTTATCGTTCCAAGTTAGGATGGTGTTTAACTGGAAGGGGAGCCTGCAGCTGGTGATGTTCCCATTTATCGTCTGGACAACAGAAGCTTTTGGTTGGGAAGGTACGGTGGGTGAGTCACTGCAGTGCACCCAGAGCAAATGTAAATAAGGCTGGAACCTTGGATTAGCACTGTGGGTATGATGTCGTGATGAATTTACTTTGAATAATGGAGGTCACACCTGCCTGTTGAACTGGATATAAAAACTTTCGAGGTCTTTTGACTATCCAAAACAATCAGCTCTCCCGTGTCTTTGAGAAGCCACTAAAGTTCCCTTTGTGTGTTTTTTTTTTTGTAATGCCCTCTAGCAAGACCGCTCAGTATATGTTCTCAACACAATGTCCGTCTGTAGCTGAGAATCCTGATCCAGTTGCTACAGCTGGTGTAAAAACTGGGTCCTGCTCGTTTCAGGATGGAGGGTCGTTCACTTCTTTAAATACTTGCTTGAAAACTGCATTTAGGGCAAGTTAAGGAGCTGCCGAGGCACTCTTCTGGTTTTCAGTTGCTGGTTGTCCATTTTCAGTCAGAAAATGAGCACTGAGCTCATCCAAGTTGGTACCTTTCAGTAGCAGTAGTCTGTGTACTGTCTACAAGATGCACTGCAGAAATTCAGCAAAGATCCCCAGACCATACCTTCCAAACCCATGACCACCCCCATCTTGAAGGACAAAGGCAACAGGAACACCACCACCTGCAAGTTCCCCTCCAAACCGCTCGCCATCCTGACTTAGAAATGTATCGCTGTTCCTTCATTGTGTCACTGGGTCAAAATCCCTCCCTTAAAGGCACTGTGGGTCAACTCACATCAGGTGGACTGCAGCGGTTCAAGAAGGCAGCTCACCACCACCTTCTCAAGGGCAAGTAGGGATGGGCAATAAATACTGGCCAGCCAGTGATGCCCACATCCCAACAGTGAATTTAAAAAAAAAAAAAAAGTTTCATTCCTCCTGTAGTTGGCATGGATCCCTGAAAGGGCATTTCCTTCAGTGGGTAGTCACTCGAACCATTTGGAGATTGCCTTGCCATTGTGCTGCAGTTAACTGCCAATCCCTGAACGGCAGTAACATTCACAGCCACAGTAAAGGACAGTTGATCAAAAGCACTTGTATTTCTACATGAGCTCTTTTCACAACCTCCAGACAACCCCAAAGCCAATGAAGCACTTTTATTTTGGAAGTGCAGTCACTTTTGTAGGAAATATTGAGCCAATTTGCAGCATCAAGAGCTAATTGAGAGCTACTCCTCCTTTTAAAAGACTCGGCTTTTTTTTTTAAAAAACGCCACAGAAAAGTGTAAAATAAGCTGCTCTACAAATGTTTCATCATTAAACATAAAAGCGATGCACAGCAACCAGATATTCTGTTTAGATCACTGGAGGTCAAAATGTTGGGACATCTCCATTCAACTACCACCTTGAAATCCTGTTCACACTCAGATACCTGGAGGCTCTGCCTCATCCACAGCACAGAACCTTCATTAGTATCTCACTCCTGTGCAGTACTATGAGAGAATACTGGTTTCGATTAGGTTGTCAGTCGAGTTTAGATTTTGTGACTTAGTGACATGCAAATGAGAATGTGGTTGATTTTTGTTTTTAAAAGACGGGTGGTGCTATGCCTGAGAGGTCTTCAATGACTCATTCCAGCCCACCTAGGGCCCACTAATCACATTTTCTTTCATCTGAATAAAACGGATGTGACATGTATTGTCAGTGACCCTACTGCACCAGTTGCCTCGGGTGTTTGGTATAATATTTTGCATATGCAGTACAGACTAGCTGGAGCATTGAAAAGAAAATGCATGCAGGCAGAACAGCTCAAGTAAAGGTAACCTTGCAGATTGTTTGGATGCGGGAGCTACAGTGTCTGCATTATAAGGGGAAAACTGTTCCCTTAGATTGCTGCATCCTCACACTTTTTTTTTCCCCCAAGAGGGCTTTTTGTTTTTGTTTTGGCTGGAACCAAAGTCCAATATTTTGTTTATTTACTTGATATGCAACTGTACAGAACCGAACTACTTTTGACAATGTGTATATACAGAG